CAATCTGTCCAGGAAGTCGGCAGGCATCTGCCCCGGGAGGAAAACCGTATTTTGTTGCTAAAAATTAAGGAACATCCAGAAGCATTAAAGGAGCCATTTCTACTTTCAGTTATTCAAGGAAGATGGTGTCTGTGTCTGGAGAAAAAAGGTGAGAAACAAATGACCTGATATTTTTCCTTATTCATGACTTTTTTGGGTCATACCACACCTTCCTCCGACCCTACAAGGAAAGAAAGGAAGGAGGAAGAATGCCTGGAAAGGAGCAGGACGGCTTGTTTGTGCAACCGCTCCTTTATTTTCATTTTTTTCTCGTTTTTTTCCTCTCTACTTTTCTCTCCGGTTTTCTCCTGCAGTCTCTTTGCCTTTTTGTTTAAGTTCTAAGGACATTAGACTTCCATGCGGGTGTGTTCTGGATGGGCCACCTAGACACTTGTCTCGTTTCATGCAACAGGCGGAGGTCATTTCGGGGGCATTCGCACACTTGGGGATCAAGTCTCCCTGCCACATCCAGGACAGCTGCTGGGCCGGGAATAATGCCGCGGCTCTACGGCTGGCCCAGACCCCAAATGAAGCATACAGCGCTCGACATAAAAAAAATCTGCAGAGCTACCAAGAACCTGAGTTTAGGTTTTAACTTCGCTTGGATTTTTAAACTTTTTTTGTGAACATTCTCAATCAGAAAAATAGACAAAAAAAAAATGGTCCAATGAATAACTATATATACTTACCAACTCGATTAATAATTAACTTTTTGCCACGTGTGCTTCACATATGTTTTGCAGGACTATCTCAAAGTAAGATATACACACTCCAGCCACTCCGCCCAGCCACCTCTCAGTATGGAGCTCCAAAGAATTAGGGCATTCTCTTCCCTACCCATGATCCCATTATCGCATCTAACATAATTAACATTAATTCCCTAACGTCATCTGATTCTCACTCCACATTCGTACTGTCCCCATTGTCTCCCAGATGTCTTCCACAGCAGCTTTGTTCTAACCAGGGTTCGATGGAGGATTCCACATGGCCATTTGATTTTTGTGCCTCCTAAGACTCTCTCAACACAGGAAAATTCTTCTCCATTCCTTTCTTTATAACATTGACTTTTTGAGGCGATGAATCTGATCTCTAACTATAAAATCAGTTACATATATATTTTCTGTATTTAGTAAATTGACTGTCAAACAGATTAGAAATTCACATCTCTACAGCCAGCATATTTGCTCTCTGTAGCCCAATTTGCAGGAATTAAAATGATCAAGAGGTTGCCTTGGTGACAATAGAATTAGAACAAAGGAAATAATTCTGCAGTTCAGATGTTTGAAAATACAAAGCTTTGATACTTTGATATCCTGGTACAACCATCTTCTTTTTCCACGTTTAACCAAACTCGTGTGTGTGTGTGTGTGTGTGTGCGCGCGCGCGTGTGTGTGTGTGTGTG